AAATTAATAAAATATTTTTACTTAATTAATAAAATACGTTTTAATATATAAAGTTTAAATTAATAAAATACTTTTATTATTTTTATTTTTACGATATGTAATATATTTTCAGGATTATTCTATATATATAACTCTTACGACCCTCATATGGATTATTGAATAAAAAAGGTTTAGCGATTTTACACTTCGTCCCCCTCTTCGTAAAGACAGTGAGCCGTTTTATTGAATTAGGCCTCTCGCTAACACATCCGTTTTAGTAAGCAGAAGCAGGAGCAAACTGCTATTACTTCCGATCCGTATGCTCGAAGGAAACGCTCTCCTCCTCCTCTCTTCCCCTTTCTGGCAAAGCAAGGCAGCCAGTTTTACACATGCGGGCCGGATATCTGACCCTAAGCGCCTGGAGAGCTCGTTTCTCTGCCTACCTCCTTCTGACCTCGAAAAGACTTTTGCAAGACACGAAAATAGACCACCCTAAGTGTACAAGCTATTTCATACGACGACGCCCCATAGTCGACCGTAAAGAAATTCCGCGGATCTACGCCAGGAGGCTCGACTAGCCAACAACATGTTAAATATGATAAGATCCTTATATATAGCCTCGTAGTGTTTTATCAAGGAACATGGACACTTCTGCGCGATTTTCTGACGTAAAGACGCTCAATAATGGAAACCATCGCGGCGAGAAAAAAAGTAGCCTCTCGTTTTATTTATGGCACTATTTCGGTCATAAGAACGCGTTTCAAGAGCTTTCAGAACGTTAAGCCTAATGTAACGTCAAAGCTGAAAATTGATATAGGATCACTATTTTAATACGCAAGGTAGCTTCGTCATCCAACTGAATTGGATTAGTGTGTTACTAGATAGATAGCGTTCACTACATCGAGCTTCTAGTCTTCCATTAAGCCCATAGAGGAAATTTTACTTAATCAAATCGAAGGAAGCTTGAGTCTTATATAATTCAGTTATGTATATTTCCATCTACATGTTTCTTACGCAAGTAAATCTATTTCCGTCACGTGCATCTCACATAATTATCAATAATATTCGCGACATTGTTTGCATTAATCTTCTTTAGATTTCAACAAAAAGAGAATAGAGGAAGAGTAACTAGTGATTATTCACACTGCATCGTTTTATTCGATACATTTGATAATAAAATTCCTAATACATATAGAACTTAGAGACACAAACTTGTTTACGATTTAAGTTTGCTGGTAATCAGATTCGTTAAAAGTTTCCTGCTTATACTCACTTTGAAGTTCTCGACTCCCTCGCCAACTTGCTCGATGTCACCCGCGCACTCCGAGCCCATGATGAACGGAGTTTTTGGAGGTGAATCAATCGCCCCTTGTCTAGCCATCAAATCTTGGAAGTTCAGTCCGCTGCAAGAAACAAAAGGAACTTTATTAAATTACAATTAATATACGCAAATAAAAATATTGATGAAAAATTTCATTCTAAGCCATAAAATGTAACACAGTAGAATTGAAACATCAGAAATTAATGCAATCAAAAGACGTATTGTTAATTTATTCTCAACTTTAACGCCTATTCTTGTTATTCACTTTATCATTAACAACAACACGTAATAATGGCTATTATCAATCGTCATTGGCACGCGAAGAGAGGACGATGTTTTAGTAATTTAGTGTATTCTCTGAAAATTATTATCTTCCAATCTCACTGCCATAGTCAAGAATTTCATTTCAATCTCAATCTCACGGAACGGACGGGTGTGCTCATTCTCGGCGAAATATGTTGCCTCGCCTCCATAATAAAAAAAATTAAAATAAAATAAAAATAAAAAAAAATAGAAATAAAACAATCTCGAGAGAGTCCGAATTTTATAAAATCCTACGGTTTACGCGTATATCATACGCGTGACATACACGCATCTAAAACGTCGGGAGAAAGGGGATGAAGAGGGTTGAAATAAAACCATTTCATATATAACAACGAGTTCGACCGCGGCTCGCATATAAATACACGTGTTGTAGTTACCTTCGCCGGTCCCTATGACAGGAGGGTACGAAGAGGCGAAGGCGCCGCGACGCCTAGACCGATGCCTGGCGTCGCACGCAATGTACGACGCGGCACCTTCACAGCAATATTACTCATCGCATCGTGGAAATATTTACTATCGGCATGTTCGATGAAACGTTCGTGCGGAAATAACCGACGAATTTTGTCAAAATGGTGATTTGCGTATCGAGCATTGTTACATTCTCTTATATATTTATATTCGCGGAAAATTTAATACATATAATATAAATTTACCATATTTGATAATATAATAAGAAAAATATTAATATAGTTTCAGACTGAGTAAAATAATTTTAATAAATATACATTGTACATTCCTTTGTACATTCTTTATGATATCGAATTTATTAAATTCTTGGTAAATTATAGTTAAAAAGAAGAATTTGAAAGCAGTCTTATGTAAAATTATTTGTTTCATTGAATATTGTATTCATTCCGAGTAAATTTGTCGCAGTTACAACGCATTCGCAGCTTTCGGTTAGTATAATTTATTAACCTGATTGTGTGAGCCCGATTGAAATGAATATTTTATTTTCGACGGATTGCCAACATGCATCAGGTTCCGTTGCACTACGGCGCTTAGCCGCAAGAATGTCGTAAATTGTTATCAACTCTCGCGATACACCACGTAATTTCCTGGAGCACCGAGCACCATATGATGAATCATCATGGACTCGATGAAATTTTACCCAAGGTCGGCAAACGTATCACAAATGCCCACGCGATCCCTTATCATATCGCGATTAATTATTTTATTATATTTCACTGAACGCTGTTTTTCCTTTCTTTGTTATACGCATACGTTGCATCTAAATAATTATAAAACAAAAGGAATATATAAACAATAGGAAGCCAGTAATATTGTATTTCTAATAGTAAGAAAATGTGACTCATTTGTAACATGTGAAGACGAATAGTTTCAGCTTTTCAATTTACTACACATAGATGCGCTGCAGCTGTTGCGTGTATAAGATAGCCCGTGTTTTACCGATAACCGTAACGAAGGAAATTGCGCTCGAGAACGATATACCGCAAAAAACAGAACTTCGTCGAACGATTTACGTAACGACGACTAGACGTATCGATTGCTTGTTACTCTTTCCGAACAATCGAATTTTATCGAACTCTCACAAAATAATAATATAAGACTGAATTCTTCGATGCAATCGAATTATATATAGTATCTTCGATACTATCAAAAAATAATAATTATGACGCGTGTGAAAATAACATCGTGAACACGATAACGAGTTTATAAAGATTGACTGTGGTATGCATATTGATAACACGTCATAGATCGCGTAGTTCGAAACACCCGTGCATTTTTCCATGCATTCAATAAATGTCGGGCGAGACTGTAATGCGTGAAAATCACACGACTTACGCATCGGGCTGCATCGTGCAACCGCGAACGTGTCCGCGCTTCCCACCGAGGGACGTATTGAATCCAACGAGTAGAGAAATACAATACAATGATTCTATTCCACGATTTATTGACAGGTATAAGCGAACACGAATCGCGCGAAACGCCGGATTAAGCCGATTCTATTAAATTCTGTCTGTCGATGCAAAATATTCCTGCCTGTCGCAACGGACTTATATATTCGCGCTTGCGGTCGCAGAGCGTGGCGAAAAAATCCACCGAGTTAAAATTAGCGATCTTAAATGGCCGTAAAAACCGCGCGGCTCGCACACTGAGAGAGAAGGGTTGCCGCACAATTAATATACCGAATGTCTTTGCGCAAAAACGTAGCGAGATACAAAAGTTAGGCGTATACTCCCCCCTTCGCGTTTATCCCTCTGCGTTTTAACATATGGCTTGAGTCCTTATAATGTACTGTCTGGTAACCGCAATGTAACACGCAAGTTGCAACAGTTCGTAATTATGTTATATTACGGCTGTGTAATTATTAAGAAACAAAGGAGTTCGAAGAAAAAAAATTGTATGAGAACAATTAAGTATTATTTTCTATAAAATAACGATCTGTCGCGCGTATTTTTACAAGCAATATATTTTTGACTGAAAAGGCACGCGGGTACAAGGACAAGGGAAAGGTTCAGAAAGTTACGAAGCGAAGAAGTTCCGAAGACTCTTGCAATCGCTTAATTCCTTCAAATTGCGTCGAATTAAGGGGAATAATTTTCTCCATTCTTGGCAAGAGGCAATTGAACGGACGAACTGGACGGACTCGACGACGCGACATGCAACGCACCCCAGGGTCGCATAAAGCTACTGCACAAAACGGACGTAGAGACACGCACGGTATACAGGGTGTCTCCGAGAAGAAGAAATTCAAGTTAACAAAGAGCTGAATTTCGCACACAAAAATATATTAAAGCATTAAATCTCTGCAATTTTAATAACCGACATGTCAATTATTTTAAAATTCTACACTCGTACATATATATATATATATATATATATATATATATATATGTGTATATATCGTTAGGAAAAGAAAGTGCTGTTGGTCGAAAACACTCTGTATGCAGGCGTTTAAGGTAAGAGAGCTAGACGTCGCCCTTTAACCACACGTTTCCACCACTACCTTGCTCGCGAACGTGTGTTATGGCGTGGATATACACGTCAATCGATCGTCGGAGAAGACATCGAGGCGCCTACGAAGCTATAACTGTACGGTAAAATCAAATGCACGAATCTCGCGTGACTTCGATCGAAGTGACGTTCATTCGAGTGAAAGTGCACAACGTACACAACGATTTGTGCCGTAGACATTATGCCGATATCAGCAATGTCGCCTTATCTCGAAACATTGCGCAAAATTTCCAAGTCGCATTTCGTTCCCTTCTCCCGCATCAAAATGCAGTTTCGTACAGATGCGTGTGTTTTCCTGCGTAACGAGATCCCTAAATACTCGATTTATAAGGGAGCCGGCATATTGACAATTTGACGCGTATAAATTATGGCAGAGAATGATAGAATAGTATATAAATAACGACGGAATATTACGCTCGGTCATCTGGCGATTTCCTTCGCAAAGAATGCACATAACGTTAATATATCTCCTGCGTTTCATTATTTAAGATAAGCCGAGGATTCTCTGACTTAATTAACCTAATTTTTCAACGTGGGAGAAACGGAGGATGAACGAACAATGACGAGAAATCGTAAATAATCACCATGGTAAGAATAAGAGAGACGAACAAATGTAATCTTTTTTCGAGCATATAATTGCGCGTTGTAACGTATGGTCCGCAAATGTGGGTGTGTAAAATGAAAGCTGATCGAGATATCGGCCGAATTAATCATACGAAGATTATACTCAACATATTTATCGTGCTACATCATCGGGCAAATAAATTCGATACTAAAACTGTCGAAAACAGCAAGAAAAAGAGAAAAAGAGAAAAAGAAAAAGAGAAGAGGAAGAATCGAAGTTAATCGAATGGGAGATTCGTTCTCGGTGAAATGGCGCGTCGCGTAATTGCGACGATCGTTTTTAAAAAAAAGACGTGGTCGAAGGTTAAATTCGCGGACTTGAGGGAATAAAAAAAAAAAAAAGGTGAATGAACGCACTTAAAGATGTATGTGTCATATGTCAAAACATTGACAAAAGCAAATTGACATAAAAATTTCATAGACTGTTCTATTATTTCTTCTGAGTATCTGTGCAAAACCTGAGCAAAATTCTCTTAACGATTTGGAAATTATTCAAGTTTAAAGTTAATATTAATTCTTATGGAAGATCGCGTATTGTAACACTTATTGACAAATTTTTAACAAGAAAAAAAATACCCATAAAATAAAAAATTTTCACATATATTAAAAAAAAACTCTAATAAATATTTGTGCAAAACTTGATTTAGATCCATTTACTCGTTTAAAAGTTATTTACTAAAAATTGTAGAAAAATCTCTCTCTCTTTCTGTAAATCACTCGTTTTTTTCGTTTCTTGCTTTCAGTTGATTTCAGGGAGTATCCACGATCAAAAGTTTTTGTCATAAATTAGGAAAAATATTAATTACAACTATTTTCTTTTACGAAGTAACATGACACAACTTAAAAAATCAATCAGGATTCGCCAGTCTAGTTTTACGATATTGTTCAAGATTTGTTCGATGATAAGCGAATCTCTGTTTGTGTTATCGAGGCATACATTTCGGCAGATTTCACAAATTAGGCTAATTTTAGAGGAATGAAATTGAAAAGGTTTGTCAAGTGATGTGGGCCCTCTGTTCCTTCGGTAACCAGCGAGTTTTACCTGAAGATCTCGTCGTGGGAACCGGAGTAACCGCGTTCGACGATTCGCTCTTGTTGAAGAGACTGAAAAGGCACGCGGCTTTTTATTTTGGCAGTTTTTTGCTATTAATGTACAGC